TGATATATATATATATATATCATGAGCCTAATTTTTCTATGAAGATAGATATAAATAATATCTTGGGCCCTAAAAATAGTTGGGTCCATAAAAAAATCTTTTGATGATTGCTCAGTATAATATGGGTTCGCAAGAATTGGGTTTAGTTGTGAAAATTTAAGGATAAGTTATTGGTTCATGATATATATACCACCTTTTAAAAAAAAAGAAATTAAAATTTTAAAATATTTTTAGTTTTTTTTATTTTTATTTTTTAATTTTTTAATTTTACATTCATAACATTTAATTTAATATTTTTTTTTCACACATTTTTCCTCTTTTTTTTTTTTTTTTTTAATTTTTACATGTACCTCCTTGTCGTTCCTTCATCTTTCCTATTTTGGTAGTATGTGAAAACTAAAAAAAAAAAAGTGTGTAAAAAAGAAGAAGAAAGGAGCAAATTAAAAATTAAAGGTATAAAAATAGAAGATTTAAAAAAAAACTACAATATTTTATAATTTTAAAAAAAAATATAAAGGAGGTGTTCTTAAAAAAAAAAGAAGAGTCTAAGTTATTTTGGTTGGTTCGGTCTGACAAGAAATTTTATTGGTCTGAAGTGGGTTAGTCAACTTAGTCCGCGATTGATTGGGCTGATTTATTATTTAATATTTTATAATTAGTAAAATTATAAATGGTAATATTAATGTGTTGTTAATATCCATTTAAAGTTAACATTTTAAGAATATTGAGTATTCCTTTTAGTATTTAATACTTGTTTATATTTACGACTGATGCAATTTATTTTATTTCTATTAATATATTAATATTTAATCAAATTAATATTTTATAATACAAATGACAATTTACACTTTTTATAGTTTATAGTAATTAAATTTTATTATTTTTTATTTTAAAAAATTAGTGGCCCATAGATTAGCATGTTTGGTCTGCAACCCCTCCAAAGTCTGGATCAGACTTGGAAAATTTCACCTTGATATTAATATAGTCCAACAATAAAAATAAAAAAATGTTGTCTCCCGGCTAATCAAGTTAACATTAGACTTCTGGACTATATTATTAGGAGTGTTGTTGGAGTGGGTTTTTAAGAAATCTAATTTAAATCAAATTCATCTATTTTATAAAAGTGGATTATTTAATTTATTTATTTATTATAAATTATATCAATTCAATTTTTTTTAAATTAGATTAGTTTGGTGTGATATTATTATCTATTTTATATTTATATATAAATTAATTTTTTTAAAATTAAACTGATCTATTTGATAAAAACGGATTGGATGACCAAATCAATTTTGCAAAATAGATTGATTCAGATTTTCTTTAAAAAAATTCATAGATCAATTTGATTATGGATATTTGAATTTTTTATACATTCCTAAATAATATTAAAATGGGTGTTACATAAGTCCAATGCACAGATTGGATTGGGTTGTGAAAATTTAGACTTGGGTTCATTTTGTTAACCTTCAATTGTATTGTCTCGAAATGGGCTTACCCATGATGGGCTAAGCTATCTCGTGGGCTATAATGATTTTTTTTATTATTTAAATTTTATATTTGACAAGATCATAGATGATAAATTTCTATTACTAGTTTCTTTTTATAGTTAATCACTTATATACCGGTAGTTTAAAGTTTTTTTAAACTGACAACCAATTATATTCTTTAATTGTGTCATGTCACTGTAAACACATTTACTTTTAACAGTGACATGATATAATTAAAGGATATAATTGGTAGCCAGTGTAAAAAAATTAACTTTTTTTTTATAATCTTTACACTTTACTTTATTTCTATTATTATTTATTATATCGGCAATTTTATAATGTAAATAACAATCTTTTTTTTTATATTAAAACATTGTAATAACTCGTTATATAAAAGTTAATTTGTTGTGATGATTTACGGTGTGTATTTGAGAGTTTATAAATTTCTTTCACCAATTTAAATAAGTTTGATGAAAATAAATTTAGGTAAATTTAAAATTGTTATTTTTAGTTCCTGTAATTTCAAAAAATCTTATTTTAGTCCTTATATTCAAATTTTGTTAAGAAATTTATTAAACATTATTGCATAAAATCTCCTTATTGGTATTTCTATTAGTGAAAATATCACATTAAATTTGATTGATATTTCATAACTATCTTAATTAGTCAATTTTAAATATGTTATTGGTGATCTAAGAAACTAAAACAAGATTTTTGGAAATTACAGTGACTAAAAATAATAGTTTTAAATTTGAAGGACCAAAAATAAATTTATCTTTAATTTGAGGGACTAAAAATATATTTAAGCCATAAATTTATTAGTAAAAGTTTATACGATAGGACTGGAATGAAAAATGTGTTGGCATGTGATATAGGTTATATTAGATGAGCCGGTCTGAATAGACAACTTTTGTTGATTATTTTTTTTGTTTGCGTAAAACTATGATTTCTTATGGTCTATGTTGCTCAATATGTAGGAATGGAGAGCCAGGCTACTGATGGAACAATCTTGTGCTGTCAAATGTCCTTCAATATCTTATCATTTGGTTGGTTCCAAAAAGATTCAACAGGAACTTGCAAAGCCCGGTGTTCTCGAGAGGTATCTTCTAATTAACATTCTTTATACCTTCCATCCTTTGATCGAGAGGTAGCAATTCTATCGCTAAATCTTTTGAATCAAAACTGTAAGCAGGTTCCTTGAAAACAAAGAAGACGTTGCCAAACTGCGTAAATGCTTTGCTGGGTTGTGGAGTTTGGATGACTTCGATATTGTTGGAAAAGCAATTGAAAGTCCTGAATTATTTGTGATGAAGCCCCAAAGAGAGGGAGGAGGTATTGTACCACCTAAACTTTGATTTAACCTACTTTATCGAAAAATAAAAAAGAGTGGAACAAATTTATCATACGAACTATAATTACTTTTCAGGAAACAATATTTATGGTGATGATGTGAGGGAAACCCTCCTAAAATTGCAGAAAGCAGATTCTCAAGAAGACGCAGCTTATATTCTTATGCAGAGGATATTCCCAACTATTTCTAAAGCAGTTTTGATGCGTGATGGTCGTTGGCATAAAGAACATGCCATTTCAGAACTTGGGATATTCAGCACATATTTAAGGTACATTGTTTGACCACATGTCTATGATAGATCTGAGTTTAAATTTGCATAAACTTGATATCATGCATTGGAATATGCAGGAATAAGGATAAGGTTATCATCAACAAACAAAGTGGTCATTTGATGCGTACAAAAATATCATCATCTGATGAAGGTGGGGTTGCAGCTGGTTTTGCAGTGTTAGATAGTGTATACCTAACTTGAGCTAACAGTCTAACACCTTAGGTTATTAGTTATTATGGTAATTCAAAACATTACGTAAGTAATGGTTTACATATTAATGATATCTTCTTTTAAGTCTTTTGCTTTTAAAAGAAAGGACACCTAGTTTCTTTTTCCTTTTCCCATAAAATACCTAGTTTCTTTTTCCTTTTCCCATAAAATTTTATATATAATTACGTAACATCTGTTAATGCTTCCTAAAACTGTACACAACGACTTTTTTTATTTTGTCCAAATACGAAAAATGTTGTGTTAACACATAATTTGGTTATTTATTAAAAGCCTTTGCAATATTGGTTTACCAATTATGGATAAAACATATAAGTACTACTATAAATATTGTTAATGTTATTTTTTTTTATTATCAAAATTGAGTTTTCACTTATATATGTAATATGCACAATGTATAATCCCATCAAATTACAATACATATTATTAAGGTGAAAGTATGATTTTATTCGCAGAATAGTATTAAATCTTTAGCGTTGTATCTAAGTATTGTCCATTAATTAATTATGTCTTTCTTTATTGATCAATTTATTTTAAAAAACTGTATAGTGTTAGTAGTTTGAGACTAGGTTTCTTATTATGAAACAAAACTTAGGTACAATATACTAGTGTTATTCTTAAAAAAAAACCTGTTTACTAATTTAATGGACATCAAGTAATTGAAGTTAAAACAATTATAATCATACACATCAAGTAATTGAATCAGTAATCTCATGATATAGATGATTCATGTTTGTTATGGATTAAACATGAATTTGTGGTAAAGACAGATGAAAGGAAAGTTTAATATGTAAATGCACTCTCATGTTACAAATGTGTTGCTTTTTTTTTTAATGCATGGAGAATTGTCACCAGGGCAAATACATAAATTACAATGCATGCAAAATTTTAAGTAAAAAAAAATAATGAAAATAAATTATAAAAGGAAACAATAATACGGCAAAATAAATGTTTAAAATTTAAATTGACAGAAAATGAAATATATACATGATTATATGATGTACAATCAATATAAGAATTTAGATAAAATAAATAATAAAATTTATAATTGAAATGGATTTTTTTTTGAAGATAAAAAAATATTAAAAAGATAGTCACCAATTGCAATGAAAACGAACCTAGTTCTCCATAATCATATGTTAGAATAAATGTTATTTTAAGAGATGTTAGAATAAATGTTATTTTAAGAGATGTTAGTAATAAATGTTAAAATTCAAATTATCAATAAATAGAAAGAATAAAATGAAAAAATACAATGCGACATGTTATAGCATCGTAATCATCAATTACAGGAGATAACTTACTGTTTCAAATTTATTGCAACTAGTATGTGGTATTTTTTTTTTGGGACTAGTATGTGTTATGTACTCGATGCACAGATATTTGTAGGGGTGAGCATTAAACCGACACCCGAACCGAACCCGATTAACATTTTCGTCATACTTTGCTGAATGACAAATTCATCGGCCGAAGGGTGTTGAAGAATGTCAGTTGATGTGGTTCCTGAAACTAACAAAGTGTATAAAATGATTAAGAACACACTCCAAATATAAACACATAAGTTGAAGTATTGAAAACGTCACCTTCCGGTTTTCCAAAATTGTGACATTCAACGTTCGTTTGTGTTGGTATAGGCATAGAACATGATTTCCTTTCAGAATGGCCACGACTGTTGCAGTATTCAATCCATGCTGATTCAGCCTCTTCGTATGTTGAATAAGACTTGTGCTTATTTCCTTTATAACCATTAACTTGTTGCTCGCATTCAAACCATGACAAATAAATTCCTGGTTGCCTACCTACATAAACAACATATGCTTTGCGGGATGAATGGCGTTGGCTCATTGGTTGTTATTTTGATGTTGAATATAGAAAATTGTATGAGGTTTTGTATTCCCGTGTAACTTGATGACCCATTGTCACCTAATTTATAATGTTTAGCAAATATATATATATATATATATACACACATATATATAAGGAGGGTTTAAACGACACCGGTGTAATTTGAACAAAGTGTTAGATCGATCAATAACGTTATATTGATTGTCAATTTTGAAATTTGAACTGTTAGATTGAAAGTTCATATGTCTTACATCATATATATCAAATTTTATATTAATCTAACATGATTTGATATTTCATTCTCTTAAAATAAAATTGACGTAACATATACATTTTAAAATATATTAAAATATGAACATTTTGATTATCTTGAAGTTGTTGTTCAATTTAAATTATAAAATATGAAAATAAATATTAATTTTATAATAAGTTATATAAAAATTAATATTTTTGGACCATGATTACTTTCATTTTTCGAAATGTGTCGCAATCTTCATATATATATATATATATATATATATATATATATATATATAT